AGAAGAAGAAGAAGAAGAAGAAGAAGAAGAAGAAGAAGAAGAGAGGGGGAGGAGGAGGACGAGAGAAGAAGAAGCAGAAGAATGAGCGGAGGAGGAGGAGGAGGGAAGAAGAAGAAGACCGGCACTCCACGTCGACGGGCGGCAGGGGATGTCGGCAGGCAGGAGCACCACGATCAACGACGCTGGCGACGGGCGACGGGCGACACGACGACGATGAGCGAGTGAAGCTCCCAGGCAATGGCGACGAGGGCAGCTACTTCGACGAGGGGCAGCAGCACGAACGTAGGCGGCTGGAGCAGCTATCGAGGCCCCGTTTGGACAGCCAATGCAGGCCACCCCAGCCAGTCGCTAGTTCAAACGGGGCCTCCGTTTCCCTCCAAAAACGAACGGCCCTCTGGCCGTCGATCATGGATGATCGACGGCCAGAGGGCCGTCCCAAATTAAAAAAAAARAAACAGGCCTCACAGGCCCGACGCGCCGTTTTCTCGGCGTGGTCGGACCTGGTAGGCCCTGGGGAGACCAAAACCACCCGATGTGGGGTCGGAAACCCCCCGCCAACAAGGTGTGCTGGGGGTGCCCGGCCCCCAACCGGGCCGCCCGCCCGGCCAGGCCGCCCGGGACCTCCCCCGGGCGGGCGCCGGTCGGCCGGGCAGCCCGGATCCGTACTCAGCTGAAAAGTTGAAAACTGTGAAAATTCTGAAAAGGGTGTTTGGCAAACATGAATTTTGCATGTTTTGTCTAATTCCAAGGCCCTCAGGTTTGGGTAGTCCTCTTGCTCCGGACAATGTACTCGTGCCATCTATTCCTTCGCTCGACATTTGCATTGCAGCTGTAGCTTTAACCCCGACTCCTCCCCACCCCCCACCCCCTTCGCCGCCCCTGTTGTTGACTTGCGGCTGCATGCACACCATGTCAGAGAAAAATGGCTGGCATACTGCTGGCTTAAGATTCTAGACTGAAAATTGCCCTCAATACAGCTATAATGACTGGGCATTCCATATGGCTGAAGACGGTAGTACGTCCCGATAACAGCAGGCCCTTACTGGTGGGAAGTCTAATGGTGGCCCTGGCAGAATAATCTTAAAATCAGCCGATTAAAAACTTGGGGTCTGTGGCGAATTGTTGATAAATCAACTTCCCAAGGCCATCGCCGTTCTTTTTTTTATTATTATTTTTAACTAATCTATATTCTTAATTCATATACCTCACTCTACCTACCTGCCTACATATATGTCCAGTTTTCTCCCGAGGATGCTCAAGGTCATGGGTCGAGTTTCCATCCTTCCCAGCCTACTGTCCTCTATGCGGGGAGCAGTACCCCGACTGCCGTTCTTTTCAGAAAAGAAAAAGAAAACAAAAACATCGCTAAACCTGGTTGACAAAGACAATCTCTCTCTCTCTCTCTCTCTCTCTCTCTCTCTCTCTCTCTCTCTCTCTCTCTCTCTCTCTCTCTCTCTCTGATTTACTCCCTGTTGCCGTTGTATTCTTCCGATTGGCAGCATTCACTTGTGCCTGGTTGTTTTCCTGTCATGTCCGGTGCTGTGCTGGGGACTGTGGGGAGCTGAAGATGGAAAAATTGGGCAGAGGCTAATTTCAAGGACGATGAAGAAAAAAAAAAAGAAGATTCAGAACGCAGTTCAGTGCACACATTCCTCACTTATCCGGATGTTCTCGGTGGTCTGTTGGTGGTGCACGGTCGTTGTTGTGTGCAGATGGTGGGTGGTGAGCCCCTTTGGAGTGCGTGCTGCAGGGTTCCGATTGGTGGTTTTCATTCGACGGATTTCCTGAAAAGAACCCTCTGCTTGCAATTCCCACAACACATGTAAGTAACAGGAAGGAATACTTACCCTATCTTCCAGGGTCGAGTCTACTCTGCTCTGTCGGGGGGAAGGAATACCCTCCAGGCTCCTAACCCCTGGCAGTAGATGGCGGGGAAGGAATACCCCCCCAAGACCGAGTAGGGTGGCGAGCGGACCATCTCAGCTGGTGAACCAGTAGTGCACCTCAGGAGGCCACGGGGAGTTGAAAGGATATCGTGGGGAATTGAACCCACAACCTCCTGAATACCACTTACGTGCTCAACCAACTGACTTCAGGCCTGCACTGCACTTGGCCTGAGCAGTCAGAGTCCAGCCTTATCTCCCCGATTTGGTGATGGGTCACCCAGGGAGGGTTTTGCTCTTTTTTTTTTTTTTTAATGCATTGGGGCTTTCCCGGGACCCTGTTCAGACCCCACCCGGACGGGCGTGCCCGGGCCGGTACACACTTGGGTGACCTCCCCCCATCTGAGCTGCTCGGATTATAGCACAGGTTTAAATGAAAGTGATAGGCATGCCGATGATTTTTATTTTTATTTTTAATTTACAAAAGTAGGGCCGGGTAGGCTATATTTGTCTCTTAGTATGCCTTGAAACGGTATTCACCAATTCGTGGTAGCTGAGGCAGATCCCAGGGCTTGATCCCTAGTTCCCCAACTTACCTGTGTATAATACCTGCGTCAACTCGAAGAGTTGAACCTGCGACCTGTAGAACCGCCAGTGGTAGGTAGATTGTCTTAGGGCACAGGATAGAAGGGAATCGAACTGTAGACCTGTAGGGTAGAAGTCTAGACAGTTCCGGAGTTGTAGCTGAAGACTGCCTGAAGAGTCAAAGTCGTAGCTGCTACAGTACCGAAAGGCCAACTTAGAGAGTTCTAGAAGTGGCCTTTCGGAGTCAGCCCCTGTTAGGTCGAGGCAAGTGGTCAAGTGGTGCAGGCAAGTGGTCAAGTGGTGCAGGCAAGTGGTCAAGTGGTGTGACTAAAGCAGGGTCGTCGTCGTACAGTCAAGGGGGAGTCTAGAAAGTACCAGTCCGGTCCAGCAAGTACCACGGGGGGGGACTGTGTGCACCATGGGCCAGGGATACAGGGCAAACCAACGCAGCGCAGAAGTATAAATGAAGAGGCTGCGTCCAGCCAAGGACATTCATTCCTGCGGATGCCATGCGGAAGCGCTGCCTAGCAGCTTGTGCGAGGAGGTCTGGAGAGTGCCCGAAGACGAAGTGGGCAGAGGAGTGGAGTGCAGCGATAGGTAGTGGCAGCTAGCGCTGCCATAGCTGTAGCCTAGCATGTGTGTGTGTGAAGTGTGATTCTGAGTGTTGCGTGTGGGACATCCAGGGTGATCCAGAGTGCGAAMAGTGAGTTGTGTRGGYGCTCAGTCGCCATAGCCAGTTTGAAGAGAACTCTTATGTGGATACGATATCTTGAAGTACTGTGTGGGCGCCTGTCGCCAATTTGCTGTTTCGCTGTTTGCATACATGACAAGTTGAATAATCGGAGTGTGATTGCAGCCTCATACTACCTACTTATCTGACTAAGCACACCATGAAAAACAAAAAAAGGCACACCAGGAGGAGCCGGCCAAAATCTACAAGGTATGGTAGATGTCGCTGCATTTTGATCTGAACTTTTTTCTCTTTTTTGTTGCCCAGAATGGCATTGACATGGGAGTTGGCGGAGGAGCTGAAGAAGGCACACTGTTACGTTGCAGAAGATTTTCTAGAGGAACTCCACATCTACCAGGTCTGTATCAGGCCTGTAGTACCAGGTTTTCTCTGTGTCTGCTTAGGCTCGCCCTGCCTACCTTTCCTTGGTTTGATCTTCTTTCAATGGATCAAAAAGAAAACAAAAACGACAACTGGCAGTGCCAACAACAACTTGGCAGGGCGCCAATCTCCCAGTGGCAGGATCCTGACGTTTTTGCCGGTGCCAACCTCACAGGTGCTCTGCCACTTCGACAGTCGTCGACCATTGACAGTGTCATCCACATGAGCATCATTCACTCACAGCCAGCACTGACAAGATGGCAGAGCACCACCTGTCAGGTTGGCTGTGCCATGCTGACGGTGGATCGTCGGCAGTCCCATTCACAAAGGGCTCCCTAACAGCTGGCATTTTGACGTAGCAGGGCACTGCCAGGTTGCGGCAGCGTCAGGTTGTCAGTGCCAAGTTGGCAGTGCCAGCTTGTTAGTCCAAGGTTGTCTGTCAGTGCCATGTCAACAGTGGATCGTCTGCAGTTCCAGTCACGAAGGACTGACCGGAAGCTGGCGTTTCGGCATAGCACGGCAGTGCCGGGATGGAGGTGTCATTATTCACAAAAGCTGTTACATCGCCATACGGGTCCTACCGGACCCGACATAGGGTAGAGGGACACAGTGGGGCCAAAGGCCCGACCTTGGGGGTACTACAGGCCGTAAAGGCCTTACCTTGGACCAGACCCGACGGGCCGGCCCAAACGATGTTACTGTTTGGGCCTGGCGGCGCTCTTGAGGCTGCCGCCCGCCGGTTGGGGCTGAACCGTCCATCTGGACGGTTCAGGGCACGGTCAGGCCTCGCAGCATAGAGGCCGACCTCTGCCCACCGGTACAAAGGTACCGGTCCAGCCTCAGTGAGGCTATTGACCTACCGGCATTCTACCGGTACGGTATGGTACAGCGCGATACAGCGCTGGCGCTAAGTTTAGCGCAGGAGCAGCGAGGAGTAGCAGCGAGCGGGCAGCAGCAGCGGCGACTGAGTGTGCCGGCGGCCATAGCCGCCTGAGGTATCGGGAGTTGGAGGCCTCTCTCCTCCCTCCCCTCGCCAGTCCCCTCTCTCTCTCTCTCTCTCTCTCTCCTCCTCGGCTCCTTCTTCTTCTTCTTCTTCTTCTTCTTCTTCTTCTTCTTCTTCTTCTCCTCCTCCTCCTCCTCTTCAGACTCCATCTTCTTGTTCTTCTTCTTCTTCTTCTTCTTCAGATTGGAGACTTATACTAGTTGGACAGAGATCACTATTGGACTTCAGTGGTATGAGACTGTGGTACTTACCGGATTGGAGACTTGGAGATTGTTGGGGTTGATACTCGGCTGCATCACAGTTCGGACACCGGTTACATTTGGACTCTGTACCTCCGACATTGGTGACCTATTGTCCTCGACACTTTGATCTTGTTGGATGACATTTTGGACTACCATATCGGTGACCTATCAGATTCTATCTCGGTGACCTTCGGTGCTGTCTACCTCCCCCACCTCCTTCGTCTCTCCTCCCACCTCTCATCTGTGTATGCGTGTACGAGGTCTGGGCATCGTCTATGCTTGGCCCAGACCCCACCATCTCACGACTGTATGTGTGTGGAGTGATTCTTGAGTCAGTCTGTGTGAGTCAGTCTATGTGAGTCAGTCCGTTTATCAGACTTCCGCTGCATATATGCTCATCCTACATTGGTTGATCTTTGGTTCTGCCCATACTCATTGAAGTATGAAACAGTTCTGGTATCGGAGCAGACCAGTTACGGATCTGCTCACCAGGTAAGACTGATTTAGGAATTAGATTCTTTCTTCAATCTTCCAAATCAGCGCTGTATTACTATCAAGTTCAAAGTTGCAAAATTTTTTCTTTTTTCGGTAGTCTGTTTATTTCGGCATTTCCGTTTCAATTCAGTATTCGGACTTATTATTCGGATTTCTGCTTTATGCCGGTATGCTGTTTWATTAGGTTCCGAGAAATTGATACTAATCCGACATACTGTTAATTGGATTTCTGATTAGGGATTCGTAATTAGGGTTTAATCAGTATTCCGTTTAAGTATTCCGTTTAATTCGGCATTCTGGTTTCTTTCGGTATTCCGTTTTATTTCGGCATTCTGATTTTTAATCCGGTAGTTCGTTTTCCAAATCGGGATTTCCGTTTTATTGCAGTAGTTGAAATTAGGGTTACGAAAATTTTGGTTTTTCGCTCAACTTGGGAAATTCGAACGTTTTGGGAACCGTAAATCCGGAAATTTCCGCCGAAACGCGGAAAATTAGGGTTGGGACCGAATTTTTCGCGATTTTTTTTTTCGTTCCCCTTGTTGGAGAAATTCCGAAAACGGGTTTAAGCCTTTAAAAATCGGATTTTGACGGTGGAAATCCCGGAAATTTCACGTTTTTTTAAAATTCGAGTGTTTTTCCTTCTGAATTTTTCCGAAATTTTTTTCGAGCAAACTAATCCGTATCTGACCCTCAAAACTGCAACTTCCGGGTAGTTCACTAATTAACGGTGAACTCCCGGACCAGCATTGATCTCAACAGATACCTAATCTAAATACAATTCAAATTTGTTCGTTATCATTATTACAAATATTGCTTATGGATTATCATTACGAAATTTTATTGCAAACATTGTTTTATTGATTATCA